CCTGCACGATCTTGACCGGGCGCTCTTGACCGGGAGCCGCACGGGGTAGCTCTAGGCCATCTTGAGGGCGGTAGTCGTGCACAGCCTTCAAAATCGCGCTTTCTTTGGCAGTCAGAGGGCGGGAAAGAGCAAAATGGCCCGTGAACTTGGTGTCAAAGCACATGGTTGTGATGGCCTTTGAGCGCCGAGGCGTCCCCCTAAGTGCTGATGACGCCTGCCCTGAATTGAGCGTGCCCCGATGCTTGGATGCAGGAGGTCACACGCCGGAAGAGGACCGCATCGAGCAGGGAGAGCTCCCTAGCGCCCACTGGTACTCGGATGCGGACCGGGAGCCCGGACGAAGCGGTGAGCAATCGCGTGCTGTGGCTCTCAAGCAGAAGTGTGGCGTGATCGGTGGAAGGGCGAGGGGCATGCCTGGGGCTGGTTTGTGCACACAAAGGCACAGGCTCCGTCTTCATGCTTGGGTTAGCATTCTGGGCTCACCACCTTCTGCAAGCATGTGCCTTTGCTAGCTTTTTCTGGTTACCAATGAGCAACCACTGGCCAGCATGTCAGAATGAAGACCCGAATCCTTCAATGTTTGATTCCAATATCCTGCAGGAGGTTGCGGCGGCGTCCGACCAAGAGGCCGCCTCCGTCAACATTGAAGAAACGTCAGACGAGACCGAGTCCGACAAAGAGCCCACTTCTGAGGACGACCGGGGCATCGACGACTCAACGCAGCCGGACGCTGAAAGACTGGATCTGTACCGGCGGATGGAAATGGAGGAAGAGGCAGCTCGGGTCGCGGCAGACGAGACCCCAGACGATGCGCTGGCGCCCATGCGGAGGGAGATGCAGAGGAGGCGGGCCCGGGATGAAGCGCCACAGACCTCTGTGTGAGTAGCTCTTCTATAAAAGATTGTGGTGAAGTTTACAAATCTGGTGGGGGCTGCAGACCTGTCACCCCGGCTTCTCTTGGACTGCCTGATGTGCTTCTTGGGCGAATCGCTGTCAAAATTTCTATCAATACGATGGCGCGGAGTGTACATCAAGTTACAGTCAGGAACTATAAGCATTTCAGAATGATAGCAGTGGTAGCTCCCGAGCTACGATTGGTCGCCACAACTGCTCTTTGTAGATTGCTGATACGTGTACATCAGCCAGTAATCTAGGACATGAACGGGGGACCAAGCCTTGTCGTTCTCTCTTTGCTAGTGCGAGCCCGCTTCGTGGTGCATGCTTTAGTGCAAGGTCGGCCGGCCTATCATGTGTAGTGGTGCTTCAGATCTGTGAAGCGGGAGGCATGGTTAGCAAGGCTTTTCTGATGCATCACAGCCCATCAAGCCTGTCCACCAACATGGGTCTATGTCCACAAAACTTGCGGCCTGTTCTGACCTCAGGAAGTGACGTTTTTCTTCTTCATGAGCACGGCCAAAGGTTACGCAGGTATGCCAGCCTCTCTTGTGCTGCGGTGTTTTGACCTTTCCTACATTTCTCATGCAGGTTCTCAATGGCGCACGAGGATTTTGTGGCGGTGCCTGAGCCAGCGGTGCACTCCGACCCGCTGATCGGCAACGAGGTCTTCAAGAAGGACGGGTTTCGGGTGCTGCGTGTGCGGGAGCACGGCACCAACAGCTTCCATCAGGCCGGGTCGAACCCCAGGGGCCGCCTTCCCGGCCCAAAGTTCTTCATGCAGCAGGAGGCGGCGCTCCTAAATCACGAGGCGCAGGTGGTGCTGCACAAGTGGTCCGGGACGTTCAGGGATGGGGTGAGAGTCCCTTGGCGCAGCTTCGCTTCGTACCCCGGGTGGGAGACGGCGCGATCGCATCTCGAGGGGCGGCACGGGTCGGTGACGGAGATCATCCAGAACGGGAAGCCCTGCAAGCCCTACCTCGACCTCGACGGCAAGGACGGGCTCCCCTTCAAGCGTCAGCCGGAGACCGGGGCGGATGGGGAGGTCGTGGAGGGTGGGGAGAGGTACACGGGGGAGGAGGTCATCCGGATCATCGAGAAGTGGGCCACTATTGTGTTCAAGGAACAGTACGACCATGAGCTGCAGCGGAGCAGCTTCGTCTGGATTGAGAGCCCGGGTCAAAGCAAGTTCAGCCTCCACCTCACCATCAACCAGCTGTCCCCCCGTCAGCTCGTCTTCGGCTCCAACACCGAAGGGGCTCTCCACTTTGCAAGGCGCCTCAAGAAGAGGCTGCTCCTTTGGGATCTCGCAGTCGCGGCTCTCATAGACCTGAACGTGTACACGAAGGACCGCGAGTGGCGGACCCCGGGGAGCGCCAAGATCGAGAAGCCGGAGAGCGTCTTGTCGTGCATCGATCCGGCCCATTCCTGGAAGGATGCTCTGGTGACCTGGCTCAAGCCCCTCGAGGTGAGGAGCTCATCTAGGCCCCACACCCGCCAGGTCGATCACGTTGTGAAGGGTGTACGAGAAAACGGCTGTCTACTTAAATCTAAAGAGTTATACAGCCTTTCATGGTACAGGGGCCGATTGTGCGCTTGATGGGCTGCCCGGCCATACCCGCAAGATGTATCAAAAAAGGCCCTTTAGATTCTTCAAGAAGTAATACGCCGTTTCTTGGTACACACTGCTGGTTTTGTGCTTGATGGGCTGCCCGGCCATACCCGCATGATGTACCAGAAAAGGCTCTTTAGGATCTTCAAGAAGTAATACGTCGTTTCTTGGTACACAAGTGCTGCTATTTTTGCGGCAAGCCTGACGTGATTCCTTGAAGCGCGGCCTATAGGTTCTTCGAAAAAGGACCCTGCTTGTGGGGCACTCATTGCTTCTGATCGCCTCATCAGCGTTGATGCTTGGTAGAATCGGTGCATTTCAAGGCGCTGGGCTTTTGCTGCAATATGTCCTTCTCACGTAACTATTGGTGCAAGTTTCTCAAGCCAGATGATTGCCAAACACAAAGTGTTTTGGCCTCCTTCCCTGCTCCCTCTTCTCATTTTGACAAGGCGACGTAGATGATTTGGCACGAATGCCCTCGTAACCAGCTGCCCTCGTGATGTTTGCAGTCCCGTGAGGAGGTCAAGCTGCCATTCGAAGTGCCCGAAAGGCTCCACGAGAGGTTCCAAAACCCCCGAGTGATGTCTGAACGGGGCACGGAGCGCAGCTCGAAGAACGAGGAGTTCGTCAAGGCCCGCATGCTAGCGCTGCTCAGGGAGCGCTTGCACCCTAGCGCTTACGAGGAGGGCCCAGATCGCTATAATTACAGCGATCGCACAGAGCCGTGCTACACGGGTCGGATCCACGAGAACCGTCAGAATTTAACATGTCACCTCAATTCAAACGGCAAGATCTATGCTCTGTGTTTCAGCCAAAACACCGAGGGTGGGGACTCGGACGTCCCCTGTGTCAAGAGGGCGTACTGCCTGGGGGACCTGTTCGAGGACAACATCTCGTACGAGACGGACGCCGTCAAGGTAGACATGGAGCACCTTACGCGTGTCCCTGGTGCGTCGACCCCTGAGCTCGTGGCCGAAGTAGCAGCGGGGCGGAGGATGCCGGACGATCTGATGAAGCTAAACACCGTCGCCAACGAGTAAGTAATACCACCAAATGAGTAGGTGCGTGCGCATTGTGATGTGACAAGCTCTCAGAATCTGCTAGGTTGGCAAGCTCTTGTTTTGGCAGCAAACCCACGGGGCGAAAATTGGGGACAACGTGGGGCTTGTTGCGAGACTTGCTGTGCTTCCGGGACGCTCACCTTTACAAGGAGCTTTTCTTGTACCGTGTGTCTATTTTTAAGATTGCGTGCTGTATCAGCGGGCGCTCCTTGGCGCCCACCTACTGCCAGGGTTCCTTTCTCCCACCGGGGTTTCTTTCTTTGCCACAAGGCCTGCATGCAAAACCTGACGATTGTCCTAATATCAAGTGTCCTCCTTTCAAGGCATTTACGACCATTATTTAATGGGCACGTGTCTGTTCTGAGACCAGCGCAGGGCTGCAAGCTTTTGATCTCAGGCCGTATACACAAAGTTCCAAGCGCTTACCTACCATTCGGAGTTGCTTGCAGGTGAATTCAATCCGTACGATACAAGGGGTCACTGCACAGCCGACCTTTGTTGAGAACGTTGGCCTAATTCTCGCCTTAGAGTGTGTCAGGTCGTGTTGACAACTCTGTGGTCGACACGCGCAGGTGGATCGAGGGCAGATCCCCCCTGCTCGGCATCCGGTCGGGCGTGAACACTGGCAAGACGGTGTTCTGCGGGGCGGTCGGGGACGAGCTCTGGCAAGCGAGCGGCCGCGCCCACACGTCGATCATGATCACGTACCGAGTGGCCCAGGCTCAAGACCTCAAAGCGCGCTTTCCCCGCACCGCAAATTACCTCGACCTGAAGGCGGACTACGATCACAAGAACGTGTGGTTCCCGGATCCGGACAACAAGCACAACCTCCTAACGGCCCTGCAGTCTCGGAAGGACTTTCCCGAAATCGTGGTTCAGGTGGACAGTCTCCTTAACCTCCGGCGGGGCAGCATTGGTGAAGTGGCCCCGTTCGATCTCGTGATCCTCGACGAGGTGGCGAGCATCCTGGCGCACCTCTCCGCGGCGACTGTGAGGAACGGGATGGAGACCAGTGAGCTGTTCCTGGAGATTGTGCAGCGGGCGAAGCGCGTGTTGGCCATGGATGATGGATACGGGCAGCGGGAGCACGACTTCTTCCGCCTCGCAAACGTGCCTGGGAAGCTCGTCATCAACACAAGAAGGGCAGCGGTAGGCACTGAACTGATCGCGCTCTGATCAGTGACGACAGCTTTTGACGCAATGCATCTTCCTGTTTGCTGAAGTTCTGGCCGTTCGGAGTCTGGGCGCTTGGAATTGCTCGACACAGCATGCCTTGCTTTGGCCGCGCCTATGTTCGCCGAAGATGTTAGAAGCAGGATAAAAACGGAACAGGAACTTCAGCCTTTTGCCAAGTTTTCTTTTTCTTCTTGAGCGCCTTCAAAGGCAAGTGTGCCTCAGTACGTGTTGCTCGGACCTTTTTAAAGCACCTCTTGGACCGCTAATAGGGCCCGGCCATACCGTCACCTTTGCCAATTGAAGTTGTGTTTGATGGCGCAGCGTGTTCGTTCCTACATTCAAAGGCGGGCTTTCTTGGTACCAATGCTCTCTCACATACATTCAGCCCACAGCGCGCTCATTTCTTGCACCGCTTTATGCGCAGGTGCCTTTGACGTTCCGTGTCGGTCAGGATGAGAAGAAGTGGTTGGATCGAATCGTCGAGGATCTTGCAGCTGGCAAGAACGTGGTCGTCGTCAGCATGTCCGCGAAGGTCCTGAACCGCATCCGGGACCGGGTCACGTCGGACCTCGCGCTTCGGCTCGCAGACGCGGACATCCTCATCCACAAGGCCTTGAGCGGGGGCGAAACTACGGCTCTCCTTAAGAACGTTGCAGAGAACTGGAAGGTTCGTCTGCTCATGTACAGCCCCACCGTCGAGGCTGGCGTGAACTTTGACATTCCTTGGTTCCATACCAAGTTCCTCTACATGTGCAAGAAGAGCACGACGGCTCGGGCGGCCTGGCAGGCGACGCTGCGGGTGCGAAAAACGGAGAGCGCGCTGATCCACTGCTACGTCCAGTCGTCCATCTCCGTGATGCTCGACTGTGCGCAAGAGATCCCGGCCACGCGACTCTGCACTCTGGATCAGCAGGTGAGCAGATTGCATGTGGTGTCTTGCTCTTCCAGGTTACTCGCTTGATGTGGAGCACGTAACTCTGGATCGTGCTCAATCTGCAGAAGCCCCTTGCCCTTTGCCCTTTTAGCTACTCGCTTGATGTTGAGCACGTCACTCTGGATCGTGCTCAATCTGCAGAAGCCACTTGCGCTTTGTTTCAAGCTGAAGTGTGCGTCTCCGAATCTGGTGTCTACCAAGGATTCAACTTGTTTTTGACGTGCAGGGAACGACGGCTATGGCACCGCATGCATCGGACGCGGACGACGAGTCTACTTTGCAGGTAACGTTCCATCTCATCTGTCTTTCTCACTATGCGCATCGCTTCTTGTCTTGTCAGCGATTTGAGTCCGATCGTCCAAGCCTGTACTCCGAGTGCTGCTTGACGGCCCTCTTGAAGTACTTCTTTGCAGATGTGCTGACAATGCTGCCGGAGACGCGTGCTCAATTGCTGGGAAATCGACACGAGTAATCTCCTTTTTCTTTCGCAGGATGCTGATGGCGACCGCCTGGACCAGCAAGTGGCCGTCGATTCTCCTCTCAACCAGGCGTCCGGTTTCCAGTCTGGCGTAGGGGCCTCCTCTGGCCAACATTCTGAGCGACTCAAGGTGGGTGGGAAGTGACGATCTATCATCGTGCCTGCCTTAGACTCCGTCCGACTGTCCGGCTTTGCATGGCTTTGCAAAGCACACAGTGAGCATATCTTCATACATAGCGCGATAGTTTTGTGAGGCCCATTCCAGTCCTTGGCTGGTTCTGTAGGGCCACATTTGGGGCCGATTCTTCTGCCGCTCGGTCTGGTGGGCTACTTTCGTGGGGCCCAGTTTCGGGCCGGTTCAGAGGCTAGCTTTGTTGAGGGCCAGTTTGGGGGGCAGCTTTGTGAGGCCCATTTCGGGAGCTTCTGAGCAACCTCCGAACCGGATGGAGATGACAACACTTGACTGTGGCAGAGCTCTGATGAAATTCTGCTCAATCCAAGGTTCCTTTCTGCAGGGATTCTTTGGTCCCCCCCGGCGCGTGACCACGGCGGAGACGCTGCAGTTCCTGCAAGCCTGCAACGACGAAGTGACGGCTGCATGGAAGCGGGCCGCGACAAGGACCGAGGACCCCGGCAAAGTTGTCCGGTTGATTGAGGACGGCCCCCTCTTCCGGACGTTCGCGCATACGGAAGCCGAGCGGCGGAATTCGAACTGCTTCACGAGTTCCAGCTGCAAGTCTCGCGAGCCGGCCACGTGGTGGAGGTCGAGCAACCCGAAGAGCTTTCGAAAAAGAGTAAGAGGCGGAAAGGGCTAGACGCAGAGGCGTTACAGATCATCGGGGCGAGTGCGATCAGTGCGGCAGAGTACGAGGAGTTGAGAAGGTTGCGAGATGTGAAGAGGGACAGGGGGGCGCAGAGTCTCGAGGTGATGAGGTACGAGGCCTGCCAGTTTTACGGGTTGAAGGACCTCGACGAGCACTTCTTCAAGGAAACAAAGGCCGGCTACAAGCCCCCGTTCTCAAAGAAGCTCGACTTTCTGCTCAAAGTGCTACTTAAGGGGAAGTTGCTGGATGAGGGGGGGGTGGCTCGCCAGAGTCACGAGGTCAAAATGGTGGAGACGGCGCGGGGGCTGCTCGAGGACATGGGCCTGGCGCATGCGTTCGATGTGGGCGGTGCAAGTCGCTCACTACTTGCAGGCGGACTCAAAGACAGGCTCCTGAAATCAGAGCTGTTCAAAGGCCGCCCTAAGCAGGTCGGCGCAAAAACCGCAATGTCGGAGCGTGCCGTGTCTGAGATGTTCCAGATTCAGTTGCCGGCACCCAAAGAGGGCAAGGCTGATCTTGATCCAGGTCAATTCAAGGGTGTGATAAACGGAGTGCTGGAACACATGGGCCTGAAGGTGGGGAAGGGGATTGAGGTGGGCCGCCCGCGACGAGGGAAGGGGAAGCAGTACGAGTCGGGGTCCGGAAAGAGCGACTACAAGTACAAGCTAGATCGGAAGAGCGTTCTCAGGATGGCAAAGCTCGTCAAGCTGCAGTTCTGTGAAGTCCCTCGTGTTTGGCAGCATCGGGGAGAGCTAGAGCCTGCGGTCAGAGGGTTTCTCAACGAGGTAGATGCGAGCGATCTTGATCATTTATTGCGTAGGCCGTCTGGTTACCCTTTGCTAGAGGATCTGAGCTCGCCGGCAGGCAAGGACGATTCTGAGGAATGTATGATTGTGGTTCGTTAGTTAGCAAGCTAGGGAGTAATCTGGTCGTAATGTATTGAAGTT